CAGAGGCACTTCAATAATCAATGAACATTTTTAAAGTTATTTTACTATTGCATCATTATAAGTTTCAATTTATGATTCTGTAATGCAACCAAGGAGAAGGATGCCAACACTCCTTTTCAATGTTTCCTGGCCTGCTTCACAGGCAGTTGCTGAACTGACTTTACATATGGTACGATGGAGGTAGTCTTTTTTTTTTTTTTTCTCTCCAGTTTATCAGAAGAGCATGAACTCTTCTTCACATGAACTAGACAGATACAACCTGCTGTGCCACTGAAAGGGGAAGTGAAGTTGTACTTGATAGCATGCTTTTTATTATCCTTTTCTACTGTTGAGCTGTGTTTAAATGTTCAGCTGTAAAAAGGAAGAGAAAACCTCACCTCATCTTAGAATGAATAAAGATGAAGATTCTTAAAAGTCAGTTATCTATATCAGTATTTTTAATACACGTATCATTTTGATAAGCTTTTTAAAACTAAATTTGAAACTGACAACGTAGGTTAACTTGTTATACTTAAAATATACTGCATCAATGTCAAATATGACTAGATTAAAAGGCAAAGCTTTTTTATTTATATACATAATTGGAAAAGTTAGATAACTTCTCATTTTACAAAACTTTTGTTGATGTCACAGTACCACATACTGATTTAGAAACACATACTGTTTGCACCTTCAGAACAAAGCAAATTCTTTTCATTTAGGATGTATACAGAAAGGCTTTTACATTATTCACCCTGAATTTTAGCACAGACAGTACATTCACAGAAAATATTTTGATATGTTTGGTCAAAATTTAAAAAGTGTCCACAGAGCAGAAAAAGTTTTCATCTTCTGATCTATAACTTCTCAAAAAAAAAAAAAAAACACCACCCTCACAACACTGGCAATACCTTTTCAGAAATATTTGTTACCCAGAAGGTGACAGGAGCTTTTGAAAATTCTGCTAAGCACCTAGAACACTTTTATTTTAAGATACGACTCCAAAATCCAGAAACAATTGGTCCATTAATTACAGCTAACATACTCTCTGTATAAGAAAATCCTTTAGTATAAACACTTCACTTAACCTTTTTCTCAGGTAGCCAGGATCTTTCATTTAACTACAAAATTTAATACTAATTTGCCACTACAATTAAATCCAATTTCCATCCAAATACAGTTTAACTTTACTTGGATTTTTTTTTTTTTAACAAAAAGAGTAGGTTCATTACAATTTTGGTGTTTATTAAGCTATATTTATTCACATATAAGCAATTATGTAAGTACAGTATAGAAGCTGTATGTGATTGCAAGTGAGCTATTTTCCGTTAAACATATAAGCAAACTCCTCTCTACTTTTTCCCTTAAAGAGTAAAAATGTAGATAAAAGTCCAAGTTTTCCAATGTAAAATTTTACTGATCTATAACTTCTCAAAAAAAAAAAAAAAACACCACCCTCACAACACTGGCAATACCTTTTCAGAAATATTTGTTACCCAGAAGGTGACAGGAGCTTTTGAAAATTCTGCTAAGCACCTAGAACACTTTTATTTTAAGATACGACTCCAAAATCCAGAAACAATTGGTCCATTAATTACAGCTAACATACTCTCTGTATAAGAAAATCCTTTAGTATAAACACTTCACTTAACCTTTTTCTCAGGTAGCCAGGATCTTTCATTTAACTACAAAATTTAATACTAATTTGCCACTACAATTAAATCCAATTTCCATCCAAATACAGTTTAACTTTACTTGGATTTTTTTTTTTAAACAAAAAGAGTAGGTTCATTACAATTTTGGTGTTTATTAAGCTATATTTATTCACATATAAGCAATTATGTAAGTACAGTATAGAAGCTGTATGTGATTGCAAGTGAGCTATTTTCCGTTAAACATATAAGCAAACTCCTCTCTACTTTTTCCCTTAAAGAGTAAAAATGTAGATAAAAGTCCAAGTTTTCCAATGTAAAATTTTATTAAAATATCATTTTAAAACAATACATTCTGCCAAGGGAGCAGTTTTTATAAAGCTTTCTGATAGGAAACAATTATTTAGATGTTGTTAGTTTAAAAATCTTTGCCTTTGCTCTGGTTATATCAACATGCATTTTTTTTTTTTATTGCTTGGGACAATGTTTTGTTTTCTTTTCCTGGTGCACAACATTAGAGGCAGAGGATTCTTTTGTGTTCTCATACTTCCCGTTATTCTTTATTTCCAGCAAAGAGTTCTTTCACGTGAACAATGTAAGAGCCAAAGTATACAATTATCACTAAAGACAAAACAAAGCAATTTTTAGACTGCTATGCAAGAAGTCAGATGCTTACTAATAAGAAAAGTGAAGAGGATAATATGTAGATGAAAAGAATAAAGGAAGAAAGAATGAAAAACTTAATGAACCAGAGCAGCAACTCCTAACACGCATCATCAGCTAGCAGCTTTTCATACTCTCATTTACATCAAGAGAAAGCAGATCCTCTAAGATTTAGATCATTCCTTGTGTTTTCCTAAATTGAATCAGCTTGGAGTTCAAGACCAAAAGGCAAGCAACGGCTGCAGTATCTATACCAGCTCAGTTTAACGTAATGATGTTCCAAACAACCCTGCAGCTTAACTATTCAGTTCGTTAGGCAGCAAAGTAGCAGCAACGCAGACTTGGCGAAACAAGCGTGACAGGAAAAGGATTTAACGTCCCATGCAGTCAAATTCTTTTTTTCCCCCCCTAACTAAAAGATACTGTTGCAACTTGTGAAGGTATCTTAAGATAAGAGATAAGTTTTGGAAGTGTTTCTCCCTGTCAAAGATGAATGCACTAGCAATTTCTTCTTCAACATCAGTAGTTTATATTCTTATATAAAAGTCGCTTTGGGAACTCTTTTTCACTCACATTTATGCTTATTTATCCTGAACCAAGAAAATACCTGCAGTATCAACAAAACACACACATGCAGTATCAATAAATTACAACATATAAATCTGAAAGATTTGAAAATACCCAAATGAGCAGTGTTTTGAAAAATACTTGATTCCAACACTGGTCTGCCTCAATGACTGAATGAGTAAATATAAAACTACTCCAGAACACAGCCAACTCATTAAAATTGAAGAACAGCACATTTTAGAACATTCTTTGCTCCTCTCGTTTTTGGAAGTCTTCCAAAACTTTAAAAGTTTTCTCTCTTTACAGCTGCCATTTGATAGATCTACTTTGACAGAAGAAAAGTACTCAGCAGAAGTTACTTAACACAGACTATTCTCATGTACACTGCCAAATGAGAGAGAAATATTTTAATTTCTTCCGCACATATTTTTGGAAAACAAATGTGGGTTACCATCTTTCACCTTTATCTTCAATGTTCAACAAACACTAACAATTTCTAAAATGGTTCCAAAACCTCTCCTTTAGATTTAGACGATACCAAGAGTGCACGCATTTTTCAGAGCATTACAGGAGTAAAACAACATGTACCAAAGTAGCACATAACTGTTTTCTAGCAAAAGTTTTGGATAATCTAAGGTATGACAATGAAATCTGACTGTATAAACTTCTTCTGAAGTTACTTTCTTCCAAGTGGATTTCAACAACAAAGTAAATCGATTTCAACCTTGAACACAAGAAGAAAACAACAATAAAACACGTTATAGTAATATTCATGCAAAACTTTTACTGGTAAAGTTAACTAGCAGAACATAAAGTGTATTTTTACATCACCTTCACAACCGTTGCACCATTTCCCCCTCTTTCCTATCCACCCTTTAAGTAAGCCTCTCTGCTTTCTCTCACAGCACTGTTAATACTTGACAGGACTTTATAAGCACCTCCACGGGCCTCTACCAAACTCTTTATTTTTCACACAGTTGCCAAAAAAAAAAAAAAAAGAACAAACAAAAAAAGCAAATATTGGCCTATACAGTTAATTTCACATTGCACGAACAAGAGGCAGGGCAGTGACTCATTGCCCTGCAGCGTCCGGCCTGTGTATGGATCTGCCTGTCCTTCTCTTCTGTCCAGAAGACAGCCTCTGCTCCAGACAGCTCAGCTTCCTGCTCAGAAACCTGCTCCTCAACTTCAGACTGCAGTTCTCATGAGGCGAATTTACTTTTCAGGCCCCCGAACTAAACGTTCACCTTACTCGCAGTGCCTTTTACACCGTCAGACAAGCCTACGCGGGCAACACTTGTTGACTGTGACAGGAGCCCCTCAGAGAAACTGCAGCCCTTTAAGGAGCAAAACTGCAGAACTTGCGGCACACAGGCTCCGCGCCGGCAAAGACCTTCCCCCGCGGCCTGCAGGACGACGGCCCGCACCTGAGGGCAGGCGTCCACCAGAAGCTCCCTGGGAGCAGGGAGAACCGCTGCGCTACCGCTCGGCCCTG